GGGAAAGCCTACAGTAATGATGTCTGGAGACAAAGGTGTGCTTGATACAGGCCATGGTCTTTGCAATTACTTGCTATGCACCAGACAGCAGGACAATGACTAGGGATGATAGAAGGAGAATTGATGCCTTTGAGCTGTGGTACTGGACAGGAGTATTGGATATGCCTTGGATTGCTAAGAGAACAAACAGGTTTGTCCTGGAGAGGGTGAAGCCAGGCTGCTCCTTGGAGTAAAGAATTCTGAAGCTTCATCTGACATGCTTTGGACATGTTGCAAGGAAGAACCAGTCCTTGCTTGGGAGTTTGAAGGGAGAGCGCAGGAGAGGAAGACCCTTGATTAGGTGAATTTTGATTCAGTGACTGGGGTAATCGAGACAGTGAAACTGGCACAGGATACAGCAGGTTTTAGGACCACTGTACATAGGGTCTCTATGAGTCACAGGCTATGAGACTTGATGGCACATAACAACAACAACAATAACAACAACAACAATCAGTAAGAAATAAAAAGATTTATTCAACTTTCATTTATTGTTGACTAACATATTGACTTTAGTGAGATTTATGAAGCCTAGTTCTATTTTTATGGTTATATTATTTGTGAGATACAGGAAAATTGATAGGACAAATGTGCACAGCATATGCGTGCCCAGTGAAAAAGCTTGGGTTGTAACTTTATAATTTAAGATTATTGTAAAGATTTATAGTTATTTTATCTTTGCTTTTATTGCATATTGCTCTTATCTATGGTTTATTTGATAATGAGTCTTTGGTCAAACACAATCCCCAATAATATCACTGTTCCCATGGGAAAATATTACTTTATGGCATAGTTTCCAAAATATACTATGATAAAATATAGAGAAGAAATATGTTTCACATGTAAACAATGAGACTTTGTGTTATAAACTAACATTAAAATTGCAACCTTAACTGATGACATTATTTCCCAATCAGCTATTTTCGGCTATCATATAATCTTTGACCTAACTGGTGTATATGTTATAATGTACTGTTTTAGGTATAATCTCCTCTTTTGGAAGTTTTTACAGTTGCTTTGGATTTAGGAAAATGAAGCAACCTGACCCTTATAGGTGAGAATTTTTACACAAGGCAGTCTAGTCAAATAGGAGAGGTAAGCTATATGGATAGTGCATATGAAGTGAGATGGGAATTTCAGCTCCAGTTCAATGATGTGGAAATTCTGAATTCTTCATATATTTTGAGCTCTGTTTGTCTATTGCACATGGAGTTGTGCTGCCAACTCAAAGGCAAGTAGTTCAAATCCACCAGTTACTCCATGGCAGAAAGATGGATAGTCTAATTTTGTGTGGTTTACAGACTCTGAAAACCTACTTGGGGGTGGGGGGAGGGCTATCCTAGAATATAATTAGCTCAGGGTGTCCCATGTAAGAGTTAGCATTTGAAAGTCAAAGATTTGTAAGGTAATAATAAAAGACCTAGAATATTTTTAAGGGTTTTTTTTTAATCTTAATGAAAGTTTACAGAGGCTTTGGATTTCTATTCATTCATTCATTCATTCATTCATTCATTGTTGCGCTTTCCTCCCTAAGTACCCCTCCACCCTAGTTCACTGTTCTCTTTGAAAAGTTAAAAAAACAAACAAACTTTCATTGTTATATAATCCCTCTCACAACCTCAGTCCACTTCACTATGCAGCTTTCATTCTGGACTCTTGTCATGACAATAATATATAATCATATACTCCTCCTAGATAGTTTTCTCCCTCATCTGTTTCAATGCAATATACATTATTTATCCTCTCTTAGTTTCTCCCGCCCCCAACACTGATGTCAGTCCCGTTTTATAACACTATACTGTACTATGCAGTATTTATCCTTTTGTGACTGAGATACTTCACTCAGCATAATTTCTCCCAGGGTCACTCATTTTGTATAATATTTCATGAGTTCTTTATTTTTCAGTGCATCATTGTGTATTTCATTGTGTGAATATACCAGAGCTTCCCTATCCATTTGTTTGTTGGTGGGCACTTGGGTTATGCATGGGTGGCTGTTATGGTTTCTTTAGGGTATATTCCCAGTAGTGTAATTGCTGGATCAAATGATGTTTCTATTTGCAACTTTTTGAGAAAGTGCCATACAGCCTTCCATAATGGTTGCACAATTTTACACTCTCACCAACAGTGAATAAAGTTTCCAGTTTCTCTGCAAGCTCAGCAGTATTTGTTGTTTGCTGTTCTTTTAAATTTTGCTACTCTCCTTGGAGTGATATGATATCTCATAGTTGTTTTAGGAACTAGAATATTTTAAGCTTAGGGATCCAGTGAATAGTGGTTTCTTATTCCAAAATATTTTAAGGAAACAACAGTAATCTTTTTTAATTGGTGTACATGGTACATTAAGGTGACTGTGACAGTTGGAGCTGGAAAAATAGATTGCATTCAGATTGTGAAGACAATATTGGTTTCAGAGTGTGGAATTTATCTGTGAGCAATGGTGAGCCACTGGAGACTTCTAACTGAAAGTGGCATGATCTAATCCATATGTTAGGAATATGTAGGCCATAGCAGTGTGACTAATGAAATAAAGGGATACTGGAAAAGGAGCACTGTCATAGGAGGCAAAAAATAATGGAATTCTAAGTGCAACAATGAATGAATGGAAATCCAAAGTCTCTGTAAATTTTCATTTAAATTAATAGTTGTTGTTGTTGTTATGTGCCGTTGAGTTGCTTGCGACTCATAGCAACCCTATATACAACAGCTCTAAACTCTGCTCTGTCCTGTGCCAATCTCATTGTCATCCTTATTGCCCCAGTCACCAAATCAATCCAACTCCCAGAGAGCCTTGCACTCCTGTGCCTGCCCTCTACCCTCCCAAGCACGATGTCCTTCTCCAAGGACCGGTCCCTCCCTACAACGTGAACAAAGTATGTCAGACGAAGCCTCAGAATCCTTGTCTCCAAGGAGCAGCCCGGTTTAACCCTCTCAAGGATGAATCTGTTTGTTTTCTTAGCAGTCCATGGTACCCTCAACA